TACTATTACAATAAACAAAATAAATAATAATTGATTAATTAATTTGAATAAAAATTCAAGTTATTAGCTATTAAAGGCATAAAAAGACAGCAATGTATAATTCTTTCTTTAATAGAAATGTTTCTTCTGCCCGTAAAGTGTCCAAACCAGGTTTTTCTGGATAAGCGTATTTCTAAACCATAGTCATTGTCCATGCCGGTTTCAGTTGGATTATTTGTCACAGTTGCTCCGATCAGATCGGTCTCCTCCATTTTGTAGATTATTTACAACTTTTGAATCCACATAAACACATCGGCAAAATCCGGCTTACTTTGAGCATGTGTTTTAAACGGTTTAATCCCTTTGTGAATTGTTTCCACTTGCGTCGTCCTTTAATTTCTTCATACAGCGGGAATCCAAATGAATGAATCCTGAGTCCAATAACCATCAAAGTCACTCCAATAGTGCTCCTTAATTACGCTTTCATCCTCCTTTAACAAAATACTTCACATTCATCCAGTTTGTGACAGTAGTTGTAGCATTTTTGAGACTTTGAAACTGAATTACCCGCCGTTGCGCCCCCCCAACTTCCAACAGGAGTCATTTGGGGGGGCTCTTGGGAAAAAAGGTTGGGAACCACTGTGTTAATAGATGTGTTTTTTTGCTTGTTTTTCAGAATCAGTTTTTCATCAGCTGTTCAGACAACAGACACGTGTTCAACAAGATAGGAGATGCTATTGCACAGCGCATCATCCAAGCATTCAGGTAACACACTCAAAAAGATATTACATTTAATTTACACACACTTTGTAAACTTCTGTATGGCTCTGTCTATGTTATGTCTTATCAGAGCACACACATCCTGCACAAAACGCAGGAAAACACAAACCTGACCGGATTTCTTCCTGAAACTTTGGTTGAATAAACAATCCTTTTATAAATGTTTTTCTCGGTGTAATCTAATTTAAAGGAAAAAGCTTAAAGTGTTGAAACCAACTCCCTTTTGGGGAAATGACTTTCTGCTTTTATTCACTCCTTTCTCAGGATTTTCATCTCTTGGGTTGTAAAACTGTTAAAGTTCACAGTATTTATTTAGTCTCATTATATTTTCATGCTCAGCTCGGATAAACTGAAGAGTCTGCCTCCTAAACATCCCAAACGGCCTCATAAAATACTCTTGACAGAAGGAGATTTGAGCCAGACTAATACATCACATGAGCCACAGATGGTATCAGTCAGTAACAAGATGTTGCACTGTTAAAATGCCAAAAATGTGTTTGTTTAAAAGGTGTTATCAACACACATTTTATACACCAAACTCCTTTTTTCAATGTTAAAATCTGTTGAGTACCCGGTTAAACTTCTTTAAGATCTAAATGAAAGGCACTGTTAATAATGACGGCTTCCAACTCAAACATTGAATCTTACATTTGTAAACATGTTACCTTCACTGACACTATACACAGTGTGTATATGTTTCCTTTGGCAGTATGTCATGATCTTGTCCTCCTGTCCCAACATGACTCAGTTACACAGTACTTTGAGCAGTATTTTAGATTTTCCATTGCACCAATCCAACAAAATGTAAGCTGCAACTTTGTAAACATTTTAAAAACACTGATCTGCTATTATAATCGTAAATTAGCATCTGATCAGTTGTTGTTGGTTCCATCCACCTTCTGAATACATGTTTCATAAATAAAACACATCAGTATATTTAAAATGTCTCCCTCTCTGTGTGTGCTGTCAACTGTTTCAGGGAGGGTAAAAAGTACAGAGTGTACCTGGTGACGCCTCTGCTGCCGGGCTTCGAGGGAGACATCAGCACCGGAGGAGGCACGGCCCTCCAGGCCATCATGCACTTCAACTACAGGTCTGTGAATGAGTGTGTAAGACAGATAATGCAGCTGCCACTAACCCACCTGCTGCCTGAGTTTCCTTGATTAGGGTTAAATCCCGGTTAAAGAGATTATAGCCACACTTTGGTGTGTGTGTGTGTGTGTGTGTGTGTGTGTGTGTGTGTGTGTGTGTGTGTGTGTGTGTGTGTGTGTGTGTGTGTGTGTGTGTGTGTGTGTGAATAAATAAATGTGTCTGCTGCCTTTATTGTACAACAGTAAATGTTGCTGCATTTGCATCGAATTTGCTTGAATTAAAAAAAGTTAATTTAATAAGAACAATCAATAAACTTGTTTCAAAGCTTAATTAAAAAAAACAGTGTTTTAATGATGGGGGGGCAAAAGTGTTTTAATGATGTGTATGTGTGTGTGTACTTCCCATTCATTGTCTGCAATCCTGGGTAAACACTCCCTATGCAAACACAGTGACACACTCAGGTGTGTGTAGTGAGGAATGTGGATCTCATGCTCCTCTCTGTCTGCAGGACGATGAACCGAGGAGAGCACTCCATCATCTCACAGCTACACAAAGAGAGTAAGTAACTTCCTGTTTACTCTTAGCGACTCACAGCTGATTGGTCCATGTTGTACAGGCTGTATGTACAGTGCAGCCATTTAAAAAAAGGCAAAACACCCAGCTCCTCTTTTATTTCATTACAATAAATAGCTATCAGTGAATAAACCGCCTAATTAAATATGATCCTCAATGTATTGGATGGAAATATTGAATATAAAATTACATTTTTCAGATTGTATTTAACTTGTTTTAGAAGTATTATTTAAGGATTTTTTTATTTAGACGTTTAAATAATGTCACATACCAAATGGAATATTGAATATAATATTTTGTTTATTTAAAAATGTTATGCTACCATTATTTTAGGAATGATGGATTATCAATGTTATATCGATATTCATTTTAAGCTTAAATCTTTAAAACATTCTTACATACCCATTGAGAATTGCAATATATAATAAATGTGTATTTGTTGTTACATTTGTTTTATTATCATGATATAAAAATGATGTATTATTCATTTATTTTTTTAATTATCATTTAAAAATCTCACATACACATTCAAATCTATAATGTAATATTTTGTTTATTGATATTTTTTATTAAATGTCTAATATCCTTATTTTTTGCAGCTTTGACAATTCATCATGCCCTACATTGAGTGTTAAAATAAAATATAATTTGTAAGCCAACACACTCTTTTTGAGAACTATTTGTGTGTTTGCAGTGGGAGACCAGTGGATGAACTACATCTCCATTGCTGGTCTGAGGACTCACGCTGAGCTGGAGGGGAAGCTGGTCACGGAGCTCATCTACGTCCACAGCAAGATGCTCATCGCAGACGACAACACCGTCATCATCGGTATTTCTCCCAAACCTTCTGCTGCTTCTTACATTTCTCCATTACAAGATTAAAAGATGACAGGTGTAAGGAATATTCCCCTGACACGGCACTGTACATGTATAATAGAGGAGAGGGAAACAGGAGCTGCAGAGGGACAGATAAATGGACATCTTGTTATTTTAGAGGAGGCACAGAAGGAAAATGACAAAATAAATGTTAAAAGCAGGAAGTAGCAAAAAAGCTGGGACAGGTTTCAGTTTCCGCGGCGCCACTCGTGTTAAAAATATTCAGTAATGGAGATTGAAAGCTGCAGATAAAAGGAACCACAAGATGTTACAAAAAATAGGTTTGCTGGTTAGGTCTTTTTGGCTTGTGACCCTTTTACTTGTTGCATGTTTTTGAATTACTTACACTTCTCAGATTGTTTGATTAAAGATCATTTTCAAAGACCTTGAGAGGTAAAACTAACTTTAGCTGAACCTGTTTTTTTTATCTCCTCCCACAAAGATGCCAGTACGAGGCAGGGACAAAATAAAATAAACAATGTTAAGAAAGATATTCACACTATGACTTTAGAACATTTAATAAACCTTGAGAAGTTACAAATCTCACACATTTTATAATATTATGTGGAAATATAGTATGTGAAAATCAATAATAATTGGTCCATCTCTGGTACAAACTTCGATACCATTAAACATAGCTATAAGATATAATGAAGAATCATTCATGTTCATGCCTTTTAATTTATAAGTGTCGACGGATTTTGGAGTAATACATTTCGATTTTAAACAATGTTTTTAATGTACAGACACTTTTTTTCTATATTATAAGTGAAAGAGTTTTTTTCCCACAGAAAATAATAATGCAGTATTACATTTCCTGTATTTTTGTATGATCTTAACCCTGTGGTCTGAGATGAGGTGCAGCAGCGCCACCTGCTGGAGGACACTCTGTGATTTATCCTGTTTTCTCTCTTTGTGTTTCGGCAGGTTCTGCAAACATCAACGACAGGAGCATGCTGGGAAAGAGGGACAGCGAGGTTGCGGTTATCGTGGAGGACTCGGAGATGGTGCCGTCGGTTATGGACGGGCAGGAGTACCAGGCGGGAAAATACGCCCTGCAGCTGCGCCTCGAGTGCTTCAGGTACTGAAAACATCCTGAATCCTGCTTTTTAAATGTCTTTATTCATGTTTTCATTAATTTGCTTAATTATTATTACATTTAAATGTTTAAGTAGCAATGTTATTTCCTCATCGTGTCTGCTTGCTGCCAGATATCCAGCAGTATCTCAGCGTTTCCTTCAGTTTTTTGTGCCTCTGTCTCTCTGTCAGGATGATTTTGGGCGCCAACACGGACCCCTCCATCGACGTGTCGGACCCCATCAGCGAGACGTTCTTCAAAGAGGTGTGGACGGCCACCTCCGCTCGCAACGCCACCGTCTACCAGAAGGTGTGTCGGATTTTTTTTATCATATTTATGTTTTATTTCTCTTTTTATATCTGTTTTTACTAAATGAAGGATTTGAATGTGAACACTTGTGCCTTAGGAACAATACTGTCTACTCTGCAACAACAATTTGTGCTTAAAAGATATCTATTTGATTATTGTGTGTGTTTTTGACTCAAGGCATTATTACAACTCCCCATCACCACCTTTTTTATTTATTTTCCATTTCCCTAATTTTACTCTATTTTGTATTTCAATGTTTTTGTTATTATTTTTAAAAAAAGCATTATTTACTAACAGCAAGGTTCATCTGTTTTTCAGAACAAAATAATGTTATAATAAATGTATAAAATGTATAAGTCCAACATTGTTTAAAAAACGGATTTGTTGTCAGGAATGTATTGTCAGAATTGAATAATTTTGAAGTTTTGTTCCTCCTTCTCTTCTCCAGGTTTTCCGCAGCCTACCGTCCTCTGACGTGCGGAACATTCTGGATCTGGAGGGCTTCCTGGCCGTGCCCGGTCTGTGCACCGAGGACCCGGCGCGAGCTCAGGAGAAGCTGAAGAAGATCCGCGGCTTCCTGGTCCAGTTTCCTCTCGACTTCCTGTGTGAGGAGAACCTGCTTCCTCCCATCGGGTCCAAGGAGGCCATGATGCCCATGGAGGTGTGGACCTGAAGAGGGAAGAACCCCAGCCTATACGGTCATGTGTTCACACTCAGCAAGAGTAAGGCCTTCAGGTGGATCAAAACACACTCTGGTGACATTTTGGAGGTCAAAGTGGCAGAAAACAGCTTTTTCTTTTTGTTTAAGCCCAAAAGTTATTTGTATAGCAGGCAAAAGAGATAAAAGCCTTATAAGCAGATGTTTGATATCCTTTTCCTTATTTGGGTTGTAATTGTTATTTATTATTAATGTAAGTGGTAAGATGACCAAGCAAATAATAAAGAAAATTTGGACAAGTAAATTCAACTAAAATCCTGTAATCTCGATTGTAAACATCCATCACCGACTTCATCTCTAAATAGTGGTTTAAGATCATCTGGATAAACTGTTTTCATATTTTTTAAGTCAGCGGTGCCAAAATCGTCTTTTATTTTAGTTTTAAATGCAAAATTGTACAACAAATCTAACAGCAGAAACAGCAATTGAATTTATATATTTTTCTAATTAATTTAAATATTAACTTTAGCCTGTAAGCCCCAAGTTGGTGTTTCTTTCCCTGTTGGAACTACTATTTTCGGGTGTAGCCACAATCTAAGATGTTATTCCAAGGGGACCAATAATACAAATATACTCCAAGTTGTAATAAATAAAACGTTTTCCTTTTAAGATGTTCAGGGTCACAGCTGCTGATCCTAGAGAAGATCTGCATGTAACACTTGAACAACAGCAACAAATGTTCTCTTTATTAAGGAAAATAATAAATCTATATTTTTTTAGTTTTTCTGTTTACCGCCAGCAATGACTTCCAAAATGGCGTTAGCTGTGGTTGTGGACAGAGCCTCAGTACCAGCAGTGCCACTGAATGCACATTAATTACAATACACTTAAAAAACAAATGCAGAGACTTTCAGAACTCATATGCATAAATAATACATTATTGTTATAAAACACACATGTACATGCAAACAGTGCAAGAAGTGGACCAGAAGACTCCGCAGTCCCTGGACTAAAGTTTACAGAATATAGTAGAAGAAGAAAGGTAAAAATGGATCCTCACCATCAGAATATCACTTTATCTCCTTCTTTAAACGTTTTGCTCCTTCTTTCTCCAACAACACTATGCAACGTGTAGGACCGGCAAAAGACACTAAAATAACTTTAACTACCTGCACCTCAGCCACCTGGCAACGCACCCCCAGCGCCGCGCCTCTCCCATTGCAACCTCTCCTCCTTCTCCCCTGTGGATGCTCTCCAAGTGGTTCAAACTGGTCAGCTCGGCCAAGACCTCCACCTGCTCCCTGGACCCCTTGCCCACAGCCCTGATCAAGGACTTCCTACCCCCCCTCTGTCCTTACATGGTGGTCATCATCAACGCTTCTCTGGCTCCTGGTATAGTCCCCACCAGCTTCAAAATGGCCTCAGTCACCCCCATTCTCAAAAAACCTGGCCTGGCCCCCGACGACCTCCACAACCACCGGCCAATCTCCGACCTTCCCTTCCTAAGTAAAACTCTGGAAAGAGTGGTCGCCGGCCAACTCCATCTGTACATGTCCAACCATGAGCTCTATGAGCCCTTCCAATCCGGCTTCAGACTTCAACACAGCACTGAGACCGCCCTCATCAAGGTCACCAACGATCTCCTCATTGCTGCTGACTCTGGCCGCCTCAGCATCCTCATCCTCCTGGACCTCTCTGCAGCGTTTGACACCATCTCCCACACCATCCTCCTCACCCGCCTATCTGACCTCCTAGGTGTCACTGGCACAGCCCTGTCCTGGTTCACATCCTACCTCCATAACAGGGAACAGTTTGTAACCATCAATGGCTCAAATTCACCCCCCTGCCCCAGTCAACCACGGTGTACCCCAGGGCTCTGTGCTTGGCCCCCTCCTGTTCACCATTTACATGCTCCCCCTCGGCCAGATCATCCGCCATCACGGACTCAATTTCCACTGCTGCGCTGATGACACCCAATTGTATCTCAGCACTACTCCATCCTCCCAGCTCCCCCCTCAGTCTCTCGTCAACTGCCTGCACGACATAAAAACCTGGATGTCGTCCAACTATCTCAAACTCAACAGCAGGAAAACAGAGCTCATGGTTGTGGCACCCAAGGCGCTGCTCCGGAAGGTTGGTGACTTCATCCTTGAGGTTGACGGCTGCTCCATCTCCCCATCTCCTGTAGTCCGCAACCTGGGTGTCATCCTTGACTCCACCCTCTCCTTCCACTCCCACGTCAAGTCTGTTACCAAATCGGCCTTTTTCCATCCAAGGAACATTGCCAGACTCCGACCGTCACTCTCTGAGACGGTTGCAGAAACCCTAGTCCATGCTTTCGTCACCTCCCGCTTGGACTACTGCAATGGTGTCCTGTTTGGGGTCCCCAACAAAACCCTGGACAGGCTCCAGTATGTTCAAAACTGTGCTGCTACGGTACTCACACATACAAAGCCGTGGCA